ACGCGTCAATGAGCAGATGAAAAAAAGTTTGATCCTGCTCTTTTTTCAAGTGTTTTTATCCTTTGTTTGTTCGTATTATTTGTGATGGGATTTTTATTCGGCATCTCCGCGTCCCTTGTTTTTTTTTTTTTTGGCTCGGCTACAAGGCATTAATGAAAGCGTTTCAAGCAAACATGTTGATTTTTGTTTCCATGGGGATCCAGGAGGCCTGACAATGTCACAGAGGATCTGGCCAACAGACTGGTGGAAAACACTGCTGCCTTTCCCCTCCTTTTATTCACATTGTGATCCCCAATTTCCCCCAAACTCTCAATCTCTACTTCCCTCCCGAGTTAATCTCGTTAATTTTTCTGCATATTTGTTTCCTCTCCTGTCTTTTCTCCCCTTTCCCTTTCTGTATCTGACCCTCTCTATTCTGCTCACTCCCTTTCTTCCTTTGTTGTCGTCTATGTGTGAAGAGCTGTGATAAATAAAGACAAGCGCAGCAGTATGTGTGTGTGTGTGTGTGTGTGTGTGTGTGTGCGCGCGCCTTGGAGAGACGGACGCGGGCTCTCTGATAGCATTGTTAGCCTCTCCAGCTCTCCTCACTCCGCTGCACATCCAGCCACGGGCTTTCTTCCCCCTCTCCATCCACCCAGGCCCCGAGCCAGGAAGGCGGGTTTGGGGGCCAAGTCAGGCCAGGACAGAGGCTTCATTGTGGGGTTGCAGGGGCCGTCGCTAGTGGAGGATGAGGACCCGGGGATCCATGCCAAGCCACGGACCCAAGACCCCGATCTGGCCTGCCAGTCGGCCCACTGAAGGGCCTCCGTGGCTGGGCACGACATCAGGGCGAGAGGAGGGGTGAGAGGCTGGAGGTCTCAGCAGCGGTAATGGCAAAGGCTAGATTAAGACCTTCTCTTAGAATCAGCACAATGGAGGAGGTCTACAGCGGCACACACACACACAGACGCACACAGTCGCACACAGACGCACACGCTGCCTGTACTCGGCTCCGTCCATGTCGCCTATCGGAGGCAGAAGAGCATGAATAAATACATGAGCACTGTAGCGCTCCACAGGACTGATAAAGAAAGAGAAAAACACATGAATTATAGGAACTGAAAGAAAGAATAGAACATTTAGAAAAGGGGGGCATGAATAATTTTGATGGTTTTGTACTACGGTAATTGTGATGGGAGGGGAAAAAAGCAAAGGCAAAGGAGAATGATGAATTATGAAAATCCAACAAGGCCCTGAGCTCAGGAAATGGAATAATTAGGAAGAGTTAAAGAGCCAAGTTTGAACATTCCAGGCTGAAATAAACTTTGGCAGGCCTCTGACTTGTGTATCCATACACGGACACGATGAGTGTATTTATGACAACTAAAGCAAATCTGTTAATCCGATCAATAGTTGGCAGGTTATTCTACTACCTACCTTCAATACTACCTACAACTAGTATGCCTGTACTACGTGTTTAAAGGGAAAACCTCTCTTTGGAGAAACATGTCAACTAATTCACACGTTTGAGTTTCAGGCACAAACTAGTGTAATCCACGATTAAGATAAACTTAAAAAGTTTATAACAACACAAGGCACAATGACATACAGCATTTCTGAGCACGTGCACACTCCGATGCCTCACCAAAATCCATCCACACAATGTGCCCTAATTCTCAGCATCATCGAAGGCATTGTGAGCGTGGTGGGACAAAGGAAAGCCGAGGAAAGCAAAGAGAGAAGATGACGCGTGTCAAAATGTGCTTTATTGGGCACTGTTCATCTTTCTTTGTGTCAGCTAATGTCCATGTTTTTAGCCACAGAGGAGAGTAGAGGAGCCCAGACACCGTAATGTCTGCAATAAGACCTTTTCCACCACCTCTTACCTCTTCACCTGTACCACACGCTACTTCTGTAGTCAAAGTGTGTGTGTGCGTGCGTGTGTTTGCGTCACAGCTCTCAGAGAGGGACCCTGGGACCCTCCTCGACAGTGAGAGCTTTTAGCTCTTCTTCGCTAATGTCCTGAATAATGGCATCTTGATGGAGAGGGAGCCGACGAAAAACAGAAAGGAGAGAAAAGGGGAGAAAAGGGGAGCGAGAGAAAAAGAGAGAGAGAGAGAGACGCTTCCATGTGTCCGTCCCTTCAGACTTCCATCAGTGGCATTATGCCTTTCTATTTTCATTATTCCCTTTTTGTCTCCCTTTTTCGGCGTGATGATGATCTGCACACATAAAACACACACCGCGGTGGCTGCATGTGTGTGTGTGAGCACACGAGTGCGTCCACATGTAAGGTGTCCTTACCGCGCGCCGACCGCATAGCAAAGTGAAATTTCCATGATTATTATGAGGAAGAATATGCTGTTTTTGAGCAGCTTCGCTGAATTTAGTCCGGGAGAAGAGTTTTAAACTGAATGTGATTATTTTGTAATTTTATTATTTTTCTATGACAATAAGCAAAATATATTTCAATTGTGGACAAAACAAGTCATTTGAGTTTATAGACCAGGCCACTAAAAACAACACAGCCGTTGGTGTCAGAACCGTCTTGGTGAGACGAGCGGCTGACGCAGTTGATGAACGTGCGTGTCTTCTTCAGTGCGTGGTTGAAACTGAAAAGTGGAAGTGGAATTAAACGGTTTGAAACTTAAACTAAACCTGTGGGGATGTTTTTCAAGAGTGTTTAAAAACCGTTTGGGTGGTATGTTTAAAGATATATGGCCATTGTGAACATGTAATACTCGTCCTTTCTTATTGCATCACACACACGTCATTCATTGGAAAATATCCCATTCAAGCACAATGAAGAATAACGAGTTTTATTCAGAAGCTGCCGCAGAGGGCTGAGGGCTCTGGGGTAATATTTAGGGTTTTTTCCTCTCGCCTCCAAAACACAGTCACACAGTCTCCACCTCCTGTGTGCGCTTGTGTGACTGTCACTCGCTCACGGTCACACACACACACACACACACACACACACACACACACACACACACACACACACACACACACACTAGTGGGGTCATCGCCACATCAGGCATGTAAATACAGAGAGGGTCAATGAGTTAAACATTTTTTCTACTCATGATTGTGAATAGGAACATTGTTGGTTATGAGGCGGATAATCTCCACTCTCGTTGTCCTGGATTGGTCAATACGTAGATGTTTTTTTTCTAGTGTCAAAAATGTACTGCTGTATTTACTGTAAATAGCTACGATTGTCTTTTTCCTGCCTCTAATTCTGAACATTTTCAGCTGTTTAATAAGGCAAACTGCCCCGTCCTCGTAACCCAGAAAAGCTCCTCCTCCTTCATTTGGCCTTAAAGTGACAATAGTGGGATCTTTTTACAAATCCATATTTGGCGAAATATTTTTTCAAAAATCTCAAGATTTCAAGTTATTGTCATCTTCTCTGAACGTGCACATGTTGTGCTCAGATGTGCGGCTGCACGTCGATAAATATGTAGAGAAAAAAGATCACATTCACCGCGACGTTACCAAACTATAAAACGGCTTCAGCTTCAGTCGCTTTGGGAAGAGAAAAAACGGGGCCTGTTCGCCTCTGCGTGCAAGAGCAAGTGAGCGTTCGTCTCCTGGGGGGAAGGAATTACTTTAATAATTACCCGTAGCCGCATGTCACACCTGACGAGAATGCTAAATAATTGTGTAAGTTCGTGGACGCGCCGATTATTAGCGTGCAGAATGAATTTACGATCGAGGGATCACCGCTGGTTTGTTCGCATTTCACGTTCCACAAAAACGGACTAAATGCGGTTGAACATGGTGCTTTTTTTATCTCAATAACGTTGAATTACAATTACTTCATTTGTAGGATTTTTTATTGAATTACTTCATGTGTAGTAAATACGTGTTTTGGCACTAAGGTGGCTCACAAATACACTGCGTGCTTTAAAGAAATACACTTCCATCCATTTCGTTTTCCGGAGCTTCTCTTTCTCTAATAAAGGAGGTGTGTTACGAAGATGGAATCTGCCCCCTAACTCTTGTTTGAACAGTTTTAATCGGATTAACATCCCTGATAAATAACAAAACAAAGACGTTACGCCCGTGTGATGCTGATGTCAGTCTTGTGGATTCATATGTGAAATAATTCTATTTTGCTGCGCTCTCGATACTGAAGGAACGCGCGCGAAACTCAGCAGAACAACGCAGTAAACACACACCTGTCGGCATTAACAATTTCATTTAATTTATGTTTTATAGGAGATGGGAGAAAGAAAGCGGATATGCTTATGGAATAAATCAACATGCGGTGCAGGATTCGTCGCTGGATCTTAAGACGCGTGTTTCTCAAAAGGCCTCGCAGTGATGGAATTTATGGAAATGTTCCTGTTACTTTGTTTTTTGCAGAAAAAGAGTTCATCTCAGCTCGAATGTGCTGGAGGGTCCTTGAGTAGCAGCATGGGGGGGGGGGGTCCCATCGGGTGCTGCTTTTCTTTGATCGGAGCTGCGGGTCGAGCACGCGCGCGCAGCCACGTAAAGCCCGTGTGCGCGTGTCTGTGTTCACGGTTGCGAGGCGCAATAAATAAAAAAAGAGGTACATTGAAAGCCGGTGTTTATTAATAAGCATAGAGCGGAATGCTCGCAGTGCACCTGATCGCGAACAAGTTATTCTGTATTTAGTGACACAAGTCTGAAACCCATTTACTGCTTTGATTTGCTGACGATGTATAAATATCACAGATAAAGTTTGACCTCCCCGCGTTCATCAATAACAAATAAATAAAATACGTGAATGAATGCTTGAACACAGAAGAGGGAAACTTTACCGGTTAAAGTTCCGCAGTAAATGGATTTTCTAAACATTAATGCGGGTTTTCCGTAAAAGAGAAATGTTGGAGAACCAGACCACCAGTTTACCCTGCGCACCTCTCTCCCCCCTCTCCGCTCTGGCTGCGCGCTGTTTTCGGAGGGCTCCTTATAAATAAAATGCAGCGTCCCCGGTTCCTCTTCCTTATTGGTCAGGGGGAGTCGTTACCTCACTCCGGGGCAGTGACGCGGCGTCTTCACGTATCCTTCACGCGCGTCTCCTCTTGTGTCTTATTGAGAGTCTTGCTGTCGCTCGCGGAGGGGGAGACGCGATTCAAGACGAGCCAAGCCGTGCCGGACGGACCGGGTGCGCTCCATTCTGAACACTTCCCGTCCCGGGAGGAGAGCGGCGCACAAGAGCGGAGTATCTCTCTCCCTCTCTCTCTCTCTCTCTCTCTCTCACTACCTCTCTCACCCGCACTTTCCCCGAGAGTCTCTCTCACTCCCGCACACACACTCGCCGGCGCTTGCGCACCTTCTGCATACGTCTCCACTTTGGCGTAGTAACTTGCGGCACTGATCTCAACGACGCGCGCGGATCCGTCTGTCGTGTTCGGCCCTCTCTTCGACGGAGCGACTTGGAGAAACGCTGGAAAAGTAAGTGGAAACGGTTATTCTTTATTATCAGTGTCCCCCGCGGGCTCGTGGAGTCCGTGTGTGCGATTTGTCCGGTGTCCGCTGCGGCGCAACTTCGGGTTGACGGTCCATCCTCGTCGCACAGCGTCGATCCACGGGGTCCGGATGCTTTTGGCACTATTTTCCGAAACACTTTGGGCCCGCGCGGACTTTACGCGCGTCGGTCCGCTCGCGGTTGTTGAGGAAATTGTTTGTTTCGGTCAAAGTGAGCTTTTGGTCGAGTAACTTGCTGCAACTTTGAGGTTATCGACTTCGACTCTGTTGGATTTACGCACCTGCCGCCGCTTTTTCGTCTGTTTTATTGGCAGATGACATAAAAACCTTCTTATATTATTCAGATTCTCACTTTAAAGCCAACCAGGTGCGAATTGCTCGTAGTTCGATGTTTCATTTGACTAATCTGTAATTTAACATTCAGCCTTATTTCCAGAGAGCTGAACTATCGCTAACAAAAGAGCAAAGAAACCAATGGGTTCGTCTCTCTTCACCGTGGAGAGCTCGTCACTACCTCAATGAAACTTCATCGCCGAGCGGCGGCCAGACGAGTTCTCCGCCCACCGCCGTGTTATTATCGCGGAATGATTGCTGTTTGGAGGGCCACGCACATCTCCATCTGTGCGTAAAAGTATCGTGTTGTGTGACCAATGATAAACTCGTTATTTGCTTCCCTTTAGAACTGCACAGGCATGTCAAAGGTGGGCAAATTACAATCTACTACAAAAAACAACTCATCCATATTTTGCCTTTTTTTTGTCATTTATAAATTGCTTTTTGATAACGTCTGGGTTAAAGTACATTTTCACACGCTTGTATTCTCTAAATTGTGTCATAAATAGCTACTCTACTTCCCATTTCAGTTCTCATTTGCAGAGCAAAGTTATTCCTTGCTCTTTAAATGCAGATAAAAACCTAAGCGTCCGTTGAGATGAACACACGGACACACTCTCACATCTCCTTTCAGGGCTCGCCTTTAAACATGAACAGTTGCTGAACTTGTCTATTTAAACACCTTGCATTGCTGCGTGGTACTACCAGAGTATTTATGAGTAAGTAATGCGTTTACAGATGATGCTGAATGCATTTTGTGTTTTACTCGTGCAGGCAGGAAACACTGGTTGTCTTTGCACTTGTGCACCCTCAATTTTACCCCAGACACAAACTTCAATATAACCAAGTGTTTTAAGCTCTTTGGACTCTGACCGTAAACTGTTGGTGTCTCCCTCTCTCTATCTATCTCCCTTATGTGTGTGTGTGTGTGTGTGTGTGTGTGTGTGTGTGTGTGTGCGTGAGCCCTCTGCCCAGAGGAACCAATCTGACAAACAGACAGTATGTGCTGCATATATGTGAGTGTATCTGGGTCACTGCTGGCCACTGCCCTGAGGACCTGAGCACCTCTCGTCTCGCAGTCACATTCAAACTAAACTCCCTGCTTGGAAACTAATTAATTTGGTAATGGCTCTACAGCAAAAATAACTCCCTTGTTTCCCTGATTTGGTCCATAAGTGTGTTTTGGCACGTTTGCTTTTTCTGTCAAATTGAGTGTTGCTGCGGTGTTTGCATGTGTGCGTGTTAACAGTGGAAGGAAAACTGCACACACAGCTTGGCCAAACTGTCGCAGGAAGCAGCTTCCAAAGATTTCCATAGACCTGACCCTGAAATCACTCGCAAAGCAGATGCAAACATGTAACATGTGTCGGGGGGCAAGAGCGCGGCGATATCCACTTCCAACATCCGCCTCTTTTGAGGCTTCTTTTTGGTGACGCTTGTTTTTTAGTTTTTGAATTTGCTTGATTGCTTTATTTCTAACTGAATGAGGAAAGCAGCCCGGCGAGTAAAGTCAGCTTTAGCTCGATGCTTTTGCTTCCTTAAGAAATCAGTTTTACTTAGTGAAGGTCAGGATACCCTGCAATTTTTGGCTCTTTATTTTTGTAATTTGTATGTATCAGTCCAGTTGTTGGTGATACTTTGGATAAGAAGCCAGGCGTCTTGTTTAGGTTTGCGTTACATGGAGATCTTGGTAAAACACCCAAAAGGCACCAATTTATAGGAATATACCTTTTCTCGTCGATATAAAATAAAGTAAATCCATGATAGATATTAGCAAATCTCAGTCAAATACTCATTTCTGTAAAATCTTGTGAAAAATAGAAAAATTAAAAATGCAAAAAATGTTTTGTTAAATTCTTCTGGAATTCTTCTGGAATTTCGATTCTTCAGAGCTCATCACAAGATGTAGAAATCAAGGTTACCTCTCGGGGGACAGCGAGGATATGGAAAATTATTTATGTTTTGAAAGGCAGGTGTTGAACTATTTAAAAAGTACTTCTTTCTCACAGTGGTTGGCTTTTCGAATTGAATTGTTTGTGATCGTTCACGGGGGAGATTCCTTTAACATCTGCCGCGTTTAATATAGTTGAAGGTGGAAGGTAACATTTAGTGAATTAAATTAACATAGCTGAAGGCATCGAATGTCTTTTACAGGTGGAGATTTTATTCTAAGGAATAATTCTGATATTTAATAAAAACACTAATGACAGGTGATTTTAAATAACATTTTAGGTTTATCTAAAAATGTATTTCATACATATATATATATTTCAAATATGTATTTCTCGACAGTCCAAAATTAAGTCGTCAAATACATTTCAATGATTTTTTTTCTCTGATTGTAAAATGATCCCTTTCTGCACAATTTTTTCCAAATTATAAAGATTCCATTTGCAACATAAAAACTATATAAATGCCACTTTTCAGGTGATGTTAGAATATTTTAATCACAGCATGTTGTGTTTTCTTGTGGTTGATCAGGTGACTCTTCTCATCCTGCGTGTCTGCGAGGACCCCTGGTCATGTCCGTTTAGCTCCCCTGCGTGATGCCTGATCATGACAGCACCGCCCTCCTAACCAGACAGACCAAGCGCCGGCGCGTCGACATCGGGGTGAAGAGGACTGTGGCTTGCGCGTTATTCGGCCAGGCCAGGGAGACCCTGTTTGACAGCATGAACCAATCACACGGCCCCGACCAGGACGCAGACTGCTCGCTCGTCGGCCACGGGCACGGCGGCGCCAACGGGGACGGGGAGAAGTCCAATGTTTTGAGGAAGTTGCTGAAGAGGGCCAACTCATACGAAGACGCCCTGATGCCTTTCCCTGGTGCCACCATCATCTCTCAGCTGCTGAAGAACACCATGGGCAAGAATGGAGGGAGTGACTCGGGCTTCCAGGTATACACAAGCACACAGGTAGTGGTGAAAGCTAATCCAATGAACCAAACAAAACGCCATTAAATATTCCTCTCTCCTCATTCACTGGTTAAATAATGCTTCTTATTAATTCACTCCTCCTGTCCTCCATCACAGGGGAGTGGAGCTCTGTCCAGTGGAGGCTCAGAGATCCATGCAGAGGACGCCTGCAGCAACTCCGACCGTGACAGCCCGTCCGACTGCCTCTCCCCCGGGCCTCCTCTCCCCCCTCCACCGTCCTCCTCCTCTTCCTCCTCCTTCGGGCGACCACCGCCTCCTTCGAGCCTCAACTCCCACGCTCCCTCTCAGCCCCTCTCCTCCTTCGACTTGGACAGGATGTCGGACGAGCACCTTCGCGCGAAGCGCGCCCGCGTGGAAAACATCATCCGCGGCATGAGTCACTCACCACTGGTCCGGTCCAACGGCGACCACAACCAAGAAAGCCACCGAGAAAGCGAGAATTGCAGCAACGGCAGTAACGACCACCGGAGAGACGGCAACAGCCACAACGCCAGCGGCCACAACCACAGCCGGAGCGACGGCCCTCCTTCCCTGCTGAGCTCCCCGGGCTCTCGGGGCGGCGTGGTCGGCGTAGGCGAGGTTTACAGGGAGAACAAGCGAAAGCAGCGCCTGCCACAGCAGCAGCACAGCTTCACCCAGCTGGTGTGTTCCAGGCAGGAGCAGAGACAGGAGGAGAGACGGCAGCTCAAGCTCCAACTGGAGGACATGCAGGTTGGTAGAAGGGGACGGCACGAAAAGGACGCAAATGCACCAAAGACAACAGCTTTAGCCAGCTCATATTTTTAGTTTAAAATGGGAGTTTATCGTTAGTTCACGCAACATATGGCCTGTAAAACATAAAGAGCCCTGGATTTCAGGAGTCCAACTTTCCAATGTGGCACAGATTCAAGGTCCTGCTGATCTTTTCCTTGAATGAAAAGACTATTTCCATCCACAAGTGGGGTTCATTTAATTAAGACTGTACCATTTGCATTTCTCTCTCGGTATGGTAACGGGATATCTTCTGTAACAATCTTTCCTCTGTTGTTCAGAAACAGCTGCGCCAACTGCAGGAGAAGTTCTACCAGATCTACGACTCGGAGACGGAGGAAGACGAAGACAACGGCGGAGAGGCCGACCGAGGTGGAGAAAGAGAGGACGACGGCAACCTGTCAGAGGACAGCATCCGCTCCGACGGGCTGGAGGAGAGGCACAGGAACCGAGGGCGGCGGGGCAACGACGACCTGTCTGAGCTGGACCCGGGCCTCTTCCTGGACCGCGCCCGAGCCCTCCTGCGAGAACAGGCCCTGATAGACGGAGAGATGGAGGACGACAGGGAGGATGCGGAGAGAAGTGTTGAGAGGGTGGTGAAGAGAAGAGAAAGAGCAGGAGGAGAGAGGGCGTTGGCGGAGACGCTGAAGCAGGAGCTGAACTGCGCCGTGTCGCAGGTCGTCGACACCGTCGTTAAGGGCTTCTCCTCGCCCAAGCAGGCTGTGGGTCACCACCACGGCCGCCACAGCAGCACGCCGGCCGCGCCGTCATCTTCCTCCAACTCGTCCTCTTCTTGTCCTGCGCCTTTCGGCCCCCTCCCCTCCCTCACCCCACCCTCACGCTTTGGTGGCGGCGGCGTCCTGGGCCTCAGTATGAACGGCGACAGCAGCCCGACCCCGAACTACCACTCCTCCGCCCAGCGGCTGCACTGCTTCGCCGATGTAATGGTCCCGAGCCCGCTGGACTCATTCGGGGGTTTGAGTGGCCGACTGAGCGGCGTGCCGGCGCCCAACGACCAGACAGAGGCCCTGCCGCTGGTGGTGCGCAAGGGCGGCGGAGGAGGTGGAGGACAGAACATTAACCCCTCTCTTCCTCCTCCTCCTCCTCCTCCTCCTCACCACCCCTCCCTCCACCCCTCTCCTCTCACGGCCTCGCTGGGGTTTAGCCCCCCGTCCTTTCGCCACCCGTTCCCTCTCCCCCTCATGGGTTACCCCTTTCAAAGCCCCCTTTCACACGGGGGTGGAGCCAGCTACCCTCCGGGGCCCAAGGACCATCATCGCTCCTCCCCCGATTCCATGGACATGACCCGCGAAGCCGCCAGCCTCAGAACCAAAATGGCATCGCTCGGCGGGGGCCATCTCAGTCACCACCACCACCACCACCACCACCACAGGCAGAGCTCACCAGGGCAGCACGGGCCGGAGGGTCTGTCCCTGTCCCTCATCAAGTCGGAGTGTGGGGACCTGCAGGACATGGCCGACATGTCGGCGTACTCGGGCAGCACCGTATCCTTACCATTGTACCAATGTGCGTGATTTCTTGTGCTTCAAATCGTTTTAGCCTTGGGTCTGGTTGTCTTTTCCTTTGTTTAGTTTAAATCACAGTTAACTGGCATCTGTCAATGCAAAACAACAAATACATTAACACTAATTGCAAGAAAAACATACTTTAGCTTAATGAATTTAAACTGGCAGCGGAGCAGAACAATATGTGTGTGTCGCAATACATTTGTCCTTATGTTGGGTGATGTGACTGTTCTGATAATATTAATAATATTACAAGATTATAACAATATAATATAATATATAATAATATTACAAGATAATAACTAATTAAGTACCGCTTTACATATATATATATGGACTAAGCATTCAGTTTGTTATTGGGGCACATTGCTACTAGTGAGGATTATATATTTATGATTGTACATCGTCAAGTTTGATCGGCTGTGATTTCATCTGCTGCTCTCAAAGAGTGTCATTAGAAACAGTGGAACACACCGAGCCGACTCGGAGGCAGCGGCAGTCAAACCAAGTCCTTCGTATCCAATAATCTGCATTAATTGCTTCCTGGTGCGACCGTCTTGTTTCCTCTCTGAGGGCCGAGATGAAACGGGCCGCGACGGGTCTCGCAAGAGGGGGGAGATTAAACAGGTCGCGCGCTGCTCTTTTAAGTCTTTGCAGCAGGTTGTGGTGTTTAAAGGTGCTGAGAAAGGCTAGTGAGCTCTTCGCCACACACAGACACACACACAGTCTGAGACACTCTTTTGCCGTCAGGTTCTCTTTCATCACAAAGACGCTCAAAGCAATCCATATTTGTCTGTGTTTATGCGTGTGTGTGTGTGTGTGTGTTTGGGGGGGGGGTAAGACCTTGTTGATAGGAGCTCAAAGCTAATCATATTTCAAAGAGCCCGGGAGAGGAATAGGTGAGCGCTTGTCCTTATTGATGGAGGCTCTCTGACGGTGTGCGTTTGTCTCCTCATCAGGAGAAGTGTCCACTTTAGTTTCCCGTTCAGGGTTTAGCTGCTCGTCTCTCTCCCCGTGGTTGTCCGTCTCTCCCAAACGTCTTCATTTGTTTGGCCTTCGCTTGCCGTTGCCCGGCAGCTGTGTGTGTTTTGCACACACACACACACACACACACACACACACACACACGCACACACACACACACACACACTGCACGGCATGTGCATGTGGACAGGTGTTAGCAGGTAGCTGTTTATCTTTTCGTCCCTAACCTTTCATATGGAGAGGGCTTCTCGGGGCCACTACACAATGCACACACTTGCACATAAACACACACACGTGCACATGCACGTGCACACACAAACATGCACTCTTGAAGAACAAAGTAAAAAGAAAAATAAGACTTTGAACCTGACAAATAGGAACTCCTTGCAGCTGCGACGAGGGTGTGATCACAGTGTCGTCTTCAAAGACAATTTAGATGTTGCTTTAATTAAAAAGGAAATATTTGACACGTCTCTTGATCCTGCTCGCCGTTTCATTCCTAAATGCTTTACTGCTCATTTAGAAGAAGAAGAAAAAGTCTTTGAAATTGGACATTAGTATTTCAAAGATACTGATCACCCTTCAACCCTCTTTTTTATTTTGTAGGTAAACACGTCTGCAATTGTTTGGTGTTTATTCATCATAATACAGAAAGCCCTCCGCTTGAGGTAATTCACTTCTATAACAAAAATCTTTTTCAACAGTGAAGTCAGTCAATTGATTCAATAACAACAATTTAGGGGTCGTCGTGGCGCAGGGGGTAGAACGGGTGTGCGGGGAGCCGCAAGGTTGGTGGTTTGAGTCCCGACTGCCCCATGTCTCAAGTCAAAGTGTCCCTGAGCAAGACACCTAACCCCTAATTGCTCCCCGGGCAAAATGTGAAAAAGCCATGGGTTAATAATGTAATGTAAGTCGCTTTGGATAAAAACATCAGCTAAATGACCTGTAATGTAATAATATGATTATTATTGAAAAATGAATGATACTGCTAGTCCAGAAATTATTTTGAAAAACAAAAGATTAATTGTTTAAATGATTCATCAACACAAAGCTCAGACTGGAGGATCTTCTTCTTTTCTCTGAATTCTAGCTCTCTAAATGGAATCACTTTTCCTTTTGGAAAACTAATAATATTAAGTGGTGCCCTTTGGCTTTTGCAGATTGTGTTTATTTGACTATTATATCAAATATAATAATATTTTATTGACCTTATTTATTACTTCAGTAATTGAAAAGACGACCAAGGTGAATCGCATGTTATTTCGTTGAGATGCGTTTCCTTCTTTTGGCTCTCTCTCAATCTAAAATCAATACTTAAAAAGAAAAGATTAACATATAGATGCATATGCAATATTTGTTTGAACTGTCCTCTGTTCTTACTCATGGTTCACCTGAGAGCCACCCACACAAACAGACACACACACACACTCTCACACTCCCTCTTAGGTCTGTGTTTTTACCTAATCCTTTGTACAGATCTGACCAGATGTCCCCCATTCATTTATGAATTTATCCCCCCTCTATTCCCCTCCCAATCCCCCCCCAAATCTCCCCCGTTCACACACACACACACACACACACACACACACACACACACACACACACACACACACACACCTGGCAACAAGGTCAAGTTACAGCTGATACAGCAAGCGCTGCACAAAACACACAGACACCCTCACAGATGTGCTGCAGGAGGAACAAAACACACACCGATTGGAGCCGCGGAGGAAGAGGAGGGCCCGAAGAAGAAGCTGCTTATTCACCGACTCACTTTAGCTACTGTTACACACAAACGTACACGCATCATTATGATACTGCCTCATGACAGTGTGTAAACAAGATGTATCATGTGACGTGGACCCAGACATAGTGACAGGTTGGCATGAATGTGAACTAGGTGGCGGTGTTGTTGACGTACCTGCTGCTGAATGAATGATGGGGCAGCTTACTGAGGCATCAGGGGGGTTTGTAACGCACTGTTTTTGTGTCGTGATCAGATGGCTTCAGAAGTGTCCTTTATGTCACCACAGTGACGTCTCAGGTAAACAAACAAACTGGCAGACCGTGCTGCCTCCAGCGCACCTGCACTATTAAATATCTGTGTTTACATAAGACAGTTGGACAGAAAATAACAAAAACTAGTGAAAAAATGTTAAAATTTCTCCTCTCCTTTGCTGCTTTGAAGCTGCTCCCTCTTTCTTTTTTGTATACTTCCGTTCTCTCTCTTCTCTCCCGATTGCTGATGCTACTCTCTTCCTCTCTCCAGCCCTATAGGGCCCCTGGGGTTCCTCTATGTGGATGTGTGTGTGTGTGTGTGTGTTTGTCTGAGTGCTAATTGACCTTGCAGGGGGTTCCATTGATTGCCTCATCTTCTCTGATAGATTATAGGGCTGTTAATGTGGTGGGGAGATGGCAGCGTGGTGGGGCACAGCTGTTGTCTCACACACACACACACACACACACCGTGCACCCCGGCAACCAGGGCCTCCACAATTATTATATTCCTTGTCGAGGGGCTTGAGGACGCGGCTGCAGAAGCGGCGAGGTGTAGGAGTGACTGTGGGATGTGATTCAAAGGCGGCAGGTGCTCGTGTTTGCTTTCGTTTTGGGTGTAAAATAGAATGTCGATCAGAGAAGCAGCGCACTGCCACTCTCACGATGCACTGGCTACTGCTTTTTAATAATTCATGAATAAAAAAGGGAAGCGAGCACAGCTTCTGTATTTCTCTATCCGTCTACAGTGGTGCTTGCATTTGGTTCCTCTAGCATTTTGTGAAACAAATCCTGTAAAATTGTCCGTAATCAAAGCCTTTCCTTACAGGTGATGAATGAACTACTTCAAATGCTTACGTTAGTCTGGCGTGTAAAAAGTAAAAGTAAGGAAGGAAGGAGTGGATTTGGTCTCTGGAGAGATAAAGTCGTCGTACACCACAGCGCATGTTTTTGCGTGAGAAGCCGATCCCTTCACATGTGTCGTGAAAGCTATAAGAAGATTGCTGCATGAAATTTGCGTTTAGCGTGAAAATGCTCAGAAAAGAAAAGCCTGCTGTGTTCCTCAGAAATGCTTGTTGGCTCCTCAACACGTTATTCAGATCCAGGAGGGCTTGTCTCCCAACCACCTGAAGAAGGCCAAGCTGATGTTCTTCTACACCCGCTACCCTTCCTCCAACATGCTCAAAATATTCTTCTCAGACGTCAAGGTAAGACCTTCCTCTGCTTTTTATTCTTTTGTATCAACCTTGTTGTCACTGTTCCCCTATAATTATAATTCATTCAATCCTTCTGTCTTTTTGTTTTCATACTGAATACATTATTATTTCTCAAGAGAGAAAGCAGTTTTTCAGCAGAAGTTTACAATAATGACAAACATGGTTTGAACAGACAGTGAACTGAAAGGCAGTGAATTAATGTGTTTTAGGGGGAAAAATGACTAAACACAATTATCATTGGTAGATAGAATATTTTGCTTAAGCTAGAAATATTCGAGGTGGTGGAGAGAGGATGTTCATCGATGGGAATTCAATGGCATCTTTAGGACCAGAGCTCAGAAATCAGTGACAGATGGGTTTGATGAGCTGTTGTAAACAGGTAGGCGTCTTTGTGTGTAGCATTTGGATTTTTAGATTAAAGCTTAGAACGTCTTTTTGTTGTTTTTCTGATCTAATTGTTATTATTAATTTTCACTGATATTCTCACTCCCGCCTTTTTATGACTTTCGTGCATTACGTGACAATCAGTTTTGTGCGTTATTCCGTTTCTCTCTACGTGTGTGTGTGTGTGTGTGTTTGTGAGTGAGAGAGAGAGAGAGAGACACCCTATAGGGCAGATGGGTGCTCCAGTCTGTCACTTCTTTGTAGCATAATTAGAGTTTCTGGCCTTAATCGGTCTGGGGCTGGAGGGGGGGTTGTTAACGCCCACTTTCTCACTCTCTCACACACACACACACACACACACACACACACACACACGTGCACATCGCTTTCACTCTCACCGACATAAAAAGAGAAGTTGAACTTGCTGAAAGATGAACATTGAAAAAAAGATAAACAAAGTCAGATTAACAAAGGTATTTGGAGGAAAAAGTAGACGATGGAAAGTGTGCGTGCATTTGTGTATTTGGTGCGTTTGAGTAACACGGCAGAGGAGATGGGGAAGGGGACGGGGGATGAGGGGTGGGGGGACACAAACAAATGAAAGGGATGACAACAGAACAACAGCTTTAAAACAAAGGCGCTGATTGTTCCGTGTTTACAGGCTGCCGCGGGTTTTGCAAAGCAGCATACGGCTCCTCCGCGGATTCAGGACGCTGTATTCAAATGAGCTGCCACACACACACACACACACACACAGACCAGCTGCCCTTTGGCTCATATTTATGGTGACCACTTCCTCGTGGCAGTGCCACATCCTCATCGGCTGCCATGGCAACAAGGGTCGCTGGGACACCAGGTTGCTAGGCAAACACAAGGTTGCTAAGCTTACCTGCAACCAGCCCACGATAGAATGGAAATGGATAGAAATTGGAATCACAGTTAGACCTAAAAATGTTACAAACCAACAGGCCTTTAAACTTTTTGGCGTCTCAAAGTTTAGAATTTAAGTGAGAGCCAACTGGTGGATAGAAATAAAACGGAATTAAACATCATCTTCAGGTTAAATAAACACCGAAAAGAAAGGCTTCGTGTTTTAAATTGGATCAGACCTTTGTGCAACGTTTTGAAAGCAGCGAGTGTGCTGAATAAATGAATTAACACGTGGGTCAAAATTTCCACCCTAGGAGGTTTTCTGAAAAAGAGACAGTAAATGATTGAATATCTCTCAAGATTAATAGCGATTTGAAACTCTTTGTGGTGACATTGATAATTTCCCATAATGAGCTTAATTATCACATCCAACTCTTAATCATCTGAGTAAATATGATTAACATTTATGTGGCCAAATAAACTGCAGCTTTGGGCTTTAATTTGTAAAATTGATGAATTAGGACTGATGAGTTAATGCACAGGCTCAGTTTGGAGATTGGAGATTAGAATAATTGTTAAAGCCAATATCAATCTGTGGGTTTATGTCCAAATTGATATTCAATTAATCTCCCTCATCTCGACAAACATGGATTTAGATTAGAGGATGTTTGCAGAGCTTTGGCCTGAAACTTTGCTCAGCAGATGGAGAGCATTACTGAAGAGGCCTGTTGCTGAAGTCCCGACCACAAACAGCAGGTTTATCGGAATGGAAACACGTTTCTACTGGAATGTACTGCCATAGACAAAACATGAGCCTTTTTTATTTTTACAGAACCAGATACACATCTTCAATTAGTTTTTTACATGCAGCTTGCTGTTGTGCTTTTAATGAAAAACACTAATTCTATGGTTGGAGGAAGAAGATATATCAGCCTAACAATACACCATAATCACGCAGGATCAGTTTGGTGTTGGTTCTATTCATGTAGCACTTTGGGATTTTCTTAAATATAAAGTGCATTACAAATTCAATGTATTATTTTTTTTATTATTATTATTCTTTTGTTGGGATTTGTTAACAAGAAGAATATATTGATTTTAAATTCCTTTAAGAAAATTCCACCTCCTTATGACTGCGATTGTATGCAACATTCACATTTAGTTTTAATTGAGACGTAATCCGAGTTAATCTCCCAATTTTATCTGCAGCAGAAGCTCTGCAGATATAATTTTGCTTAATAAAAATATAAATCACGGATAATCCTATTTGTAATGAGGGAGGCTGTTCTTTTCAAGGCTTTGGTGTGATGTGTGTGTGGAGGGGAGATTGCACACCCTGTTGCTGTCTGTCTCACTGTGTCTATGTGTGTGTCCTGTGGCATTGTCCCATTGCATACATTACATTCAAAATCCGGGTCAGTGTCTCTTTCTCACCCTCTCTCTTACTCCTACTCCTCCCGCCTCCTCCCCCCTCCTTCCCAGGGAACAATAAGTAGCATGTGTTAGGAGGATCAGGCAGATTCACTGTAAGGGAATTAGGGCCCTGCATGGTTTCCCCTAATTGGACTTGAATGGACTTTGTCTATGGGAAACTGGTTCTTAAGGATGAGCCTCGGACACACAATGGCCGCCTCACTCCGTGTGGGAAGTGGGTTGAGCTGACAACTGTTTTAAGCACAGATGAGCAGGCACGCACATACACATAAACACACACGGGATCTTAATTGTGTAGTGAAAGCTCTCCCCACCTGACCAGACCATCAGATATGTAATCATGAGAAGCTTAGGGCTCTGTCGCCTCATCTTGAGAGAGTCAGTGGGAGTAATTAAGACCTCGTTAGGACTGGATGAGTTAGGATTAATTAGACGCTCAGTGGCTCAGGGAGCTCCTTCCGACTTACACTCACTCACAACTTCCCTGTCAGCGGAGCTTTTTCTTCTACACAATCCAGCACACATGAGCGCAAAAACACTGACACATTCATCAGCAAGAGCCTCTCAAGTCTCCTGTCTAGAGAGGCTGAAATGACACCTCGGCGCCGCCTCAGCAGGAATCACTTAGCGTCCAGCGCGTCTTGTCAATTAAAGCTACACGGGCAATTGTTGGCGTCATCATATCGTGGAGCAGCATCAGCTCGTCTGGTGATTCAGAGGCCGCAGAACTTCATTAATTGCCATACAATGCATTTATTAACGTTGAAGACTGGTGACAAAATATGAAGACAAATATAGCACAAAAGCAAGGGCGTATGTTTGCTCTCAGCATTGGTAGGGACACCACCAGCCGCCCCTTCATATTAAAAAAAACTTAGTTGATATTAGTTGATGTGCTTTCATCCTTTAAGCATAGCTACTTGTATTTTGATTTCTTATTTGAATTTACCTCCATCTATCATTCACAGAGATAAACTTACACCTTTAAGCTCAATCTTGTCCAGAGCAACTTGATAATCATGGCGTACAGACATTGTTCAGCCGCTGCTGGGACATGTGGACCTCCGCCAGGTTTTTAACCTTTTTAAGGCACTGAAACTTCGCTCAGCTTCAGCTGAGGAAACAGGCACAAACATCAAGATTCAGATCAGCTTCTCCACTGGTCAAAGAGACCCCTTACGTCTTTTGGCATTGCCCTAAGAACTCCTTCAGCTTCCCAGTAGCTGGTGGTGCTGACTGGACACTTTGATCGGAACAGAATCAGAATCTCACTGTCAATTTCAAAGTATGGTTCAACGGTATCATCTGAGTTTCTCCAGATGCGGTTGGTTAAACTTTTCCCTGAACTGCAAATCCAAGCATGTATTAATTTATGAATTGTGTAATGCATACATGTGTGCATCTAGATTCATGGCACCCTCTTACTACCTTCAAGTATAACATCTATTCTGAAAATAGCCAGTGTGACTGATAACACTCATGGGTAACATTGTCTAAACACCCATAAAAAACAACAATCTAATGCAAACTCTACCAAAGTGGACAATGGATGGATGGATGGATGGACGGATGGATGGATACCCGACACTCGGACAGAAGAATTTGGTGGTTTACACTAACATTTCGCTAACAACGACCTGTGCTGATAGCTAACATTATTTGCTTGCTGGTGAAAAAAATACTAAAATGCCACCAAAAAATGAAAGCTTTTTGTATTCACGAGTGTTTGACTCGCTCCAGTCAATCAAATAACAGCATCTTGTTGAGGACGCGTTGGACACTTGGAAATCATCTTCTTCTGGGTGACAAACATCATATATATAATAATGAGAATGAGTTCGCAAATATATTGTGCAATTTTTTTTTCTAACAGGCAATTCAAATTTTTAAAAATTTGCCAAACTTTGGTTGTGACTCGTCCCCAGGGACCGTATGCAAACCTACGCCCTTGCATGAAAGGATGTAGCTGCATTTTTAATTATCTGGACAGACAAATGTTTTCTTTTACTGCTTAGAGATTAGAGAGATTGTATTCTTTGTATACTTCCCACACACATACACCTGCCCTGCATCGTATTCCGTCTTGAGAGGCAGAAAAGACCCGAAAGAAGAAGACGTGAGAAGGTTCCTACAGCAGCGGTTCTTCCAGATATCCATAGGAAACCTCTGTGTTAACACTTGTAGATTTATGTCAATCGTGCACATTCCCCTCGCCCTCTATAAAATGTGCCGAGCTACCACGAATCTGGTTGAAGTGGGCAGATTCTTAAAGGATGTGTGCGTCCAGCATGGCCTGGAGGGGCCTGACAACGGCCGCCGTCAGGGGAAGAAGCGAGGGGGGGGGGGGCGGCACCCTGACACTCTCTCTTTCCCCTTTTTTGTTGTAAACAGAAATGGCATTCCTCGAGCTAAGCATTTTGTCCCCCCCTGCCCCTTCCATTCTCTTTCTGTCTTTTGTCTCTGGCCTCTTCTTTGGTTTGTGCTGATTGTGATGAGCCGGACGGGACAGTGTGTGTGTGTGTTGGGGGGGTGGCGGGATGGTTGGGGTTAGGGTTTACTTGGGAACTCATTTGCTAAAATATTTGTGTGTGAAACTCCTACCATTTAAAGTGTGTAAGATTCCTGTTGCAATTACGGTCCCTAGTGTCACGTCAGCGCGCAGACCAGGTTCCTCATCTGAACACCTTAACCGTCCCCTTAACATGTGACACGCTATTGTTTGCTTTGCTTACCAGTGGGGATCTGGGAGAAAAGAAGACAGAAAAGACCACTGCAAAACGCTGGTGTGATATTATCATTATTATTATTATTACTATTGTCTTTGATGTGCTACTCATTTGGCTTATTTAACATAGTACACGACAATGTGTGGAAATGTTTCCACTGGTATGACAGTCGAGGGTATATGTCTCTTTTCTGTTCATTTGAATATGACATCGTCTTCGGTGTGTGTGTGTGTGTGTGTTTATACGTTCATTTAGAGCAACACTCAACCCCCCCAAACACACACTTTCCTCTGCCGTCGCTATGCTTTGTAAAACCAGCTCCCCTTGCTTCCGCGTGAGCGTGCGCACACACACACACACACACAAAGTCTCCCAATTATGCTCCATTATGTCACCCCCTCTGACCGCTCCTGAAAAAAAGATCTCTCTCTCTCTCTCTCTCCCATATCTTGTAACAATACCGCGCTTAATCTCCGTATCAAAGCCGTTTTTCCACTTCACCGAACACACACACACAAACTTTCACTCGGCTAGTATGTGCTCGCATAATAGATGTTGCACAGAGTGTCACGTTAAGGCCTGCAGGGCGTTCGCTGCGGTTAATGAGAGTTGTTTAATGTGGGTTTCAGGCTCAGTCTGATGCATAACAATAAGATAATATTTGGGTCATTCTTGTTTGGTTAGGCAGGTTTCCGGCGAGGACCCTCCTGGTGCAGACAGTGTTTGAGTGGCTAATGAGGTGGATACAGTCAGTTGTTTGAGGAGGTTTAGTTACTTTTGCCTGGTTGGAGTTAATTGGTGGACAGTTTACCAGTAAATCACTACTTTCCCAGTCACTCCTCTCTTCCTCTCGTTATTCAGACATTCACTCCGTGTTTCTTTCTGTGACTTTATGAGTACAGCTATAACAGAATAAAATGTACACCATGTAAAAAAAATCTCTATATATATTTATTTTATTTTTTTCACACAGATGTTGTGCCGCAAAGTTTGCATTTTATTAAGCTGTTCCCTTATATTGACCAAACAGTCAAAATACAACTGCATCTCTAATGAAAGATAATGTTCCTGATGTTTCACTCGACAGTTCAATCGCTGCATCACCTCCCAGCTGATCAAGTGGTTCAGCAACTTCAGGGAGTTCTACTACATCCAGATGGAGAAGTTCGCCCGGCAGTCCATCAACGAGGGCGTGACCGCCTCGGAGGAGCTGGTGGTGAGCCGCGACGCCGAGCTCTTCAGGGCGCTCAACATGCACTACAACAAGGCCAACGACTTCGAGGTGAGCGCTTGCCTTTGTACCACAAGAGTCGCCCCCTGATGGCCAGCGGAGAGAATGCGAGTTAAACGCACCGACGTTCCCTTTTTCGGAATTGGAGTTGTCTGCCTGATTCTGGAAAAACGTTTGATTCATCGTTTGCTCAACTATAATTCATTAGTTTAGTTTAATTAACTCAATATGCCACCGGCTTGTTTTTTCTTTTTCAAAATATCTCAGCTGTTAATGGAATAATATTCAAAAAGAAATGAAGATTCCCGTCAAACTGTTTCTCAGTTCACAATATCAAACTGAATTAAAACTCGATTCAGCAACTCTGACAATCGTCCTCTAGCAGCTCAGCTGGTCCGAGCGCAACAGTCACCTCGCAATTCTGCTGAGGTGTGGGTGTCGGAGCGTGTGCGTCTGTGTGTGTGTGTGTGCGTCTGTGTGTGTGTTCGATGAGGCGAAAGAGGACGCCGCTCGAGGCGCTGGTGTCCTTGTCAGAGCGATTTGTAGAAGTCACATTCCCTCCCTCACTCTTTCTCTCCCAATATTGGTCTAAGGGGACCTGAGGGCCCTTAAACTATTCAACGTAACATCAGCAGCATTTAGACGTCCATTAGCGCACACACCTCTGCGCTGACACGCGCGCTTTCCCTTTCTGCTTGAGGGACGGAAACACTGCAGCTTAGCTGGAGCTCAAAAGCACAAAGAGTGAGATTTGCAAACACAACTCTTACACACAGACACACACAGACTTTAAGCTTTCTAAGTATTCAGTTCTGTAGGAATGAACAGCAAGAGTCAGGTAGCTTGTCACAGGTGTGTGTGTGTGTGTGTGTGTGTGTAAAGAGGCTGCGCAAGCAACAGACACCCACATGCAAATCACCTCCGTGTGTTTATTTTTAGGGGCTACGGGTTCGTACATAAGCGGTTTGAGAGGCATGACTTTGGCTCTGCAACTACATATCCACAAACATCGGAATGCGTTTTCCTCCTCCTGGTATCCATTAGTTTCAGTTCCTTTTAGTTAAATATGAAAAGAGACTTCAGACAATCTCTAAGGTTCACAGTTGATGTACTGGTTCCAAATCAGACAACTCCGACTTTCCGTGACCAAAAGAGTCCACAGTTCGGAAAAAACATTTTTGCAAAAGCACCACTAAGTATTGTGTGAAATTACTGCTCGACCAATGAGCCGACTTCTGAGAAGGACAAACAAATGCGTCCTTCAAGTGTGCGAAGGAAGGGAAACATTTTCTTCTCGTACTCTGTCCTCTTTACTGCCTCCCTCCTTCCCTTCGCCCGCCCGCCCTGAGGGAACATTACCGGCTAGGGATCTCTCCCTCCCTCCCTCCCTCCCTCCCTCCGCCCCACTGTCAAAGTCAGAGGCGTGAAACTGGAACCACGGCCGATTCAGCAAGTCTCTCGACACACACACACACACACAAAAGTCTTATCCTTTTGCCAAATTTAGCATCATCAGAGTTCCACCTTGGTTTGTCCCCATCACACCCACCTCAACTCCTCCCCTCCTTCCTCCCCTTTTTGCTCTTTCCTTGCTCCCTTTCCTTCCTTCCACCCTTTCTGCTGAATCTGTCCGCTGTCGATTGTTCTCTCCGTCCACTCCTCTCCTTGTCCTCTTCTTCTTCGATCGCCCTTTCATTGAGATTTGTTCCTGTCCCCTGCTGTCGTTTTCTTCTCCTCTGCTTCTTCATTCCATCTTTAACTCCCCTGACTTCCTCCAACTCTTTTTTTGCACGCTCCATCGCCCTCATCAACCTTTCATCTTTGTGCCCAAACAGCTTTTATTTCCTCCATAAAAATCTGCCCTTTGTCACATTACCTGCCAAAAGAAGGCCTTGCGAGGTTAAATAATTAGCATTTTTTCATGCTTTTCTGGTGAAAACGTAATCTTTGTAAACATGGTGCCATAAGAAAGCGCTCTTAGGTCTGATCGGTTGAAAAGGAAAGCGAGTGTCATTAGTGAACGTACGCGGGCAGCATTTTAAACAGTCATTGTGCATTACTGCCGAGTGAAAGGTGAGTCTAATTTGTTGCGAGTTTGTGTGTGCGCCGTCTTTCGGTGTTGGCGTAAACAGGCCCCAGTAATTACAGCAGATTCATTAATTACCTCCTCCTCCCCTCTCCAGCCACATTCTTTCAACTCGTCTTTGTTGTTTACCTCTCTCTCCATCCTTACTCTCCCATCCCTCGCCTCTGAAACTATTTTCTCCTAATTGCAGCTCTGCCCACAAACTAATGAGGAAGGCAAAGAAAGAAAAGGAGGAAGGAGAACGGGGAATAGTCTCATCTTCGAAAAAAGAAAAAAAAGAAAGGGGAAAACAAAAAGAGAGAGCGGGAGATTTTCTTTGCCAGGACACTCAGGGAAACATGTCAGCTTGTACTTTCTGCCAAGAGGAAGAGAAGCGTTTCCTCTGTTTTGTATTAAGAACAGATTGACGAGTCAGAGCTGGGCCGAGCGTTCTCACCTCCAGGTGTGTGTGTGTGTGTGTGTGTGTGTATGCACACGCACGCACGCACACACACACGCACACACACACACACACACACACACACACACACACACACACGCACACACTAAATGTGAAAGGGAAGAATATCGTCTGGGAGAAAAGTTGTCATGTTTTGGTCTGTGTGTGTGTGTGTGTGTGTGTGTGTGTGTGTGTCTGTCTGTCGGCTGGAGAGGGACAATGGGACGTTTTTATGAAGCCTTCTAGAGGACGTTCTCATCTTTCCAGTTCAAGGATCCTCACTGCCTCCGTCAGCACCGAGAGACGGCACAGCTGCGCCTCTCACGCACGCACAAACACACACACACACACACACACACACACCAGAGATATCCTCCCTTGAAGGGTGGGTGTGGCTGCCACCAAAATCTGGCCTTTGACTTTGAACGACACACACACACACACACACACACACACACACACACACACACACACACACACACACACACACACACACACACCTGGAGGCCACACAGTGGTCACACACTCACATTTCAGGGCGATCTGGTTTCATAAGCTGTGCACTTTATGAAAGGCTAAACTTCTTGTGTCTTTCTCCACCGCTTTAGAGTCGTTGTCATCCTTTGTCCCCTCTTATTCATCTATTCACTCATCTTCTCTGCCTCCTCTTCACACGAGTCGGCTGAAGAAGAAAGGTGGGCTTTCCGTCAGGTCTTCGTTTTGCACAGAGAATGCTCTGCAGCTTTAAATAAAGGCCTCAAGAGGCTTTTTATAATTTTGTTATTAATCAATGGAGACACCACAAAATATTAAAGATCTGTCTGTCTGAATCCATTGGCCTTATGTTTCTTCCCCACCTAATTATGCCATCTATTTGTAACCTACCCAGAAGGCAAACACACATTTCAAAGACTACACCTGTCCTCTCCTCCCTCTTTCTCCAACTCTGATCTCTCCTACAATCTGAGCGCACAGCTTTGGGCAATTACCACATGTGACTCACCGGGGTTCGTGTGCTTTTTGAAGTGCTACACCAGCTCTTCATGGCTTTAATTTGACTCTCAATCTCTGCGTAACTTTAACCTACAGATCTGAAGGGCCGAACCATAAAAAAGGTATTCCTGCTCGGTTCCTCAGGAGTGTGAACAAACATTTGTTGAAAACACACACACACACACACACACGCAAGCCAATAATCTACGTGAACACACTCTTTGTTTCTGTCACTCAATGTTATTAAGCAAGTACACGAGCACCAAGTAGCTCAGTCTTCCCCTCTGCTGCTCTCTGCGGCTGTTGACGGAGAGCGCTGTGCTACAGACAATGCCACCTGTCACTTTCCGTCACTATAATTATAGCTATCTGCTTGCAATGTGTGTGTGTGTGTGTGTGTCTTAGTATTCCAGTTGAGAAGAAGAAGGCATCATCTTTGTCACTGAGCCTGATTGGAGTCACGAGGGGCCGGTGTATGTATGTGTGTGTTTGCGTGTGTGTGTGTGTGTGTGTGTGTGTGTGTGTGTGTGTGTGTGTGTGCAGTGATTCCCTTCCCCTGCCCCAGCTGTCTCCTTAGCTTTAACAATAGGCCTGGTAACAAAGACGGGGCCTTCAGCCTCCGTCATGTGATACTAGTGGTCTGCAGCCTCTCAGTCAGATGACCCAGGCCATTGTCCTCTATGGGTGACACACACTTGCACACACAGACACACACAGGACCACAGGTCACACACAGACACACACACCAATCCAGGGAAGCACAGCACGTGTATGAAGGGACACACGCAACCTGTAGTGTGCGTAGATACGAAGACACACAAGAAGAAAAAGAGACATACACGGTCATGACATACTGAGAACACACACACACACACAGAGACACAATCTCAGGACGCAGACCCTTCCTCTTAGTCACATGCAGTGTGAACAAAGAGAAACTTGATTGCCATTGTCCTGGTGACAGTGAGATCAGTGACTGATCAGCAGAGAAAGGAAACGTATTGCTGACGTCCTGGAGGAGCCTCGAGGCACCCGTTACCTTTCACTTCAGGGTTAGGGTGGGCTGGGAATATGGGTGACTGTGTAAAAGATTCTTTTGGGAACATCTAGGAACAAACAGAATTCCCTGGACAAAGTTGTGTATAACTGAGTAAATCACGGGTCAAAGGGCAGGCGGGGTGTAGCAGGGGTAATTCAAACCAAAGCACCAGTGTTTTGGACACAAATTAAGGAGTGTGTATTCCATGTACCAGTGGTGCTGGCGTGAGGCTCAATACAACCAGAAAAAGCAGGAGCGTGCTCCATCTGCTTTGCAAAGATAAATAATAATTCAAATCTGATCAGGATGCAAATAGAGATGGAAAATTTCACATCAGAGGTTCAGCCACCATGAGCTGAACTGAGCACATGAGAACCATAGCAGGTCCTTCTTTTCTAACTTAATTAATTACTCAACCACCTAAACATGCGCAAAATGGAAAAACAATAGTAACAATAGTGACCTAAAGACCCAAAGTATGAAATCCTGTAGGTGCAGAAATGATGAAAAGAAAAGACAAAGAAAAGTGAAATGACTCTTCTCTGGAAGTGTGTGTAATGTGTGTGCGTATGTCCCTCCGTATTTTCCTGCCAGGGTTTGTGTGTGTGACGAAAGCCAGACCTGATAGCAGGGAAAGAGGCACAGAGAGAGGGGAGGAAAGAGGAAGCAGATGCTTGTGTGTGGCACAAAAATGACCCGACCACCAGGCAGCAGGGTGACAAAATAGAAAAGAGAAAAACCTTGAAACTAAAGATGATTCAGAGAGGGAGCTGATAAATGATCAATCATTAAATACAGACGCCTAACAACCCACTAAACCAGTGTACACACACTTGAGTAAACATTGTCCTCGTCTCCGATGTTAATGGACAGAGGTAGAAAGACCAGAAGAGATGGAACAACACACACAGCCTCCTTCTGTTTGCACACCTTGACAATCAAACATATGGTGTTTGCACAGTGATTTCTTAGGAGCGTGGTGTGTGTGTGTGTGTGTCTCCTTTTGTGCAAGACGGCGAGTGAGGATGGAAAGGAAACGGAGTGGAGAAGCAGGTGGAAAGACGGAGGGGGAGTGACTGGGTGAGGACACGCAGCCCAGACGTCTCCATCAGTCACTCATGTTGAGAAAAAGAAGCATTAATCCTTCAGGAGACGGGGGAGGGGCTTCTCTACAGGAGAGGAGGGGATCAGTGGGCATCAAGAGGCAGACAGAAGGAGGCCTTGATACTTTTTTACCTCCTAGAGATGTTGGTGCAGACTGAACAAGACGTCCAAACGCGGAGGACAGGATGAGTAGCGTCACGACTCCCGATGAGAGTATTTTCTGCGCGATGACGTTGATGTTCCCCATGTAACTCATGTCTGTGTTAAGCATTGCTCTATTTTGGATGTGTTAAAATGGGACAATGTATTCATAAAGAAGTAACCTACTTACAAAGGGCTCTACTTTATTCTAAAAATATGTTAAGAGTGCAACACTGCCCTTTTGTGCTCGTGGCCTGCACTCTAAGAAACAACTAAATTAGCGAAGCGGACGTCACTGTTGCTAAGTGCCCGTCTCTGTGCTGCTCTCCGGGTCAAATAGTGATGGTTTGAGTCTCTTCCCGTTATCTCACAATTAAGCCTCTTAATATTCACGACATTAAATTGTTGAATGGTAATTGTGGTCCAGAAGCTTTCTGCTTTGAGATAAATGCTCCTTTATATACTTTGATGAGATGTGCCTTTACTTTCCACCCCTATTAAAACAAAGGTTTTAAATTACTAACATGAAACTCAAACCGCTGCGGCAGACACCGACATGCAAAGTCACATTTGCATTGGACGAAAGCGACAGAGTGGAAAATGTTTGAGGAGGGGCTGAAAAAGCATCTTGACGCAGCAACTGCTCCTGTTTTTAGAACATCTCAGTGTAATGAGTTTGGGATTTCTCTTTTTTACTACAACACTTCCAAGAAGAGATGAGGGACAGAGGAGCCAACGAGGAGGTAGTGACGGCAGAGAGAGAGGATGAGAGAAAAGGGAAGAAGACAAGTAGAAGGGAGGGAGGGAGGGACTCCCAGTAGGCCTCTTTGTTGGGCAGCGATGTAGAGATTTACAGACCCTTGTCCTTCTGTCTGTGTGTGTGTGTGTGTGTGTGTGTGTGTGTGTGTGTGTGTGTGTGTGTGTGTGTGTGTGTGTGTGTGTGAAGAGAAAGTAATTGATCCTCCCTCCATCCAATATTTACCCAACAAACCAGAGCGATCATGCGAGTTATGTTTACTGGGAAGTGACTTTTCGTTCTCTTTCTTTCTCTTTCCCTCTTTCCCATTCCTCGCTCGCTCTCTCTCTCTCCTGGCAACTAGACACCATATCAAGATCCAAGCCACAAACACACGCACACACACAGGCCCATCTGTATTGATGATGGCCTAATTTAGATCTCCTTATTGGACTTATTTATAACAGCCAGAATTGGGGCGTTGTGGCCCAGTGTGTGTCTGTGTGTTTGTGTCGAGCTGACACCCGACCGGACGCACAGTATCCTCCCCTGCTGCTTTTCCTTCTTCCTGCTCGGGTTCTCCTACCTCTTAGTGGATCAGCGGCGTTGCTTCCCGGTCTTCGCTGTCTCGTCTTGTTTCAGCACTCGGAGTGAAGAAAAGTGGGAGAGTGGATGTGAGCTTTGAGCTGTGATTTGGCCGTTTGGGAGAGTCAGGTGTTCGTGGAGATGTGTGTTTGAGAAGTAGTGATAAATGAGACTTATACACACTCGTACTGCACGAGGTGTGCTTTTAAACAAACGTTGTCGAGGCAGGTGAGAAAAAAGTTTGTTTAACAGTTTGTTTAATTATTAGGTAATAGAATAAAAAATAATCATTTTTCAAGTATTCTTTTAAGATGAGAGAAAAACAACTAAAGGATGAAGGTGATTCAGGAGGGAGAAGATGCCTCAAAGGCACTTTCACCTTCAAGAGCAAACACAGCTTTCTACTTTTATTTATCCCACTGGTCAAATTCACAGAAACTATTAAAACAGCAGCTTGACGTTGGGGATTTCGGTATTGTTGCTCAGAGGTACAACACAAAAGTTTAAAATGTTTTGGGTAAGGTGCAATGATTCTCTAATACCACTGTACTCGTCACGTTAATACTTAGTGGAGCTCTGAAATGCAGTAGAATCACTAAAAAGAAGAACTAGCAGTCAGACGGCTCTAATTATTCATTTGTTTACGGACCAAATTTGACTTTTTAGAACAGATTAGGTGATTTTTACAATATAACAGCTCAAACAACAGAACTATTGTGAAGTGTAAAATCCAACATGTGCATCCTGTAACATTGAATCTTTGGTGTGTGTTTGTCTGCATGTGTGTGTGTCTATAGCAGACAGTGACAGAGGGCCTCATTGAAATAACTGTGGTCTCAAGGGGTTAAAAAGAGAGAGAGGGTAGGTGAGGGGAGAGAGTATATGAGAGTCAGGGAAGCATTTAGGCCCAGTGTGTGTGTGTGTGTGTGTGTGTGTGTGTGTGTGTGTGTGTGTGAGTGTGTGTGTGTGGGGTGATTCATCCGTTCTCGTGGCGGCTAACCTTGGCTCGTCCCGCCATGCGCGACGGGGTTACAACCAGACGGCGCTCTGTCGTCCTCTAGGTCTGTGTGTTTGTGTGTGAGAGAGGGTTTGTAGGAGTCCCCCCCCCCCTGTGTGTGGCTGTAAAAAAGTGGGTGTGTCTGTGTGTCTGTGTTTTTTTTCTATGCGCCTCTGTACGCCAAATAAAGAAAAAGACAGACCAAAAGAGGGGTAGTGAGAGGTGGTTTCATGTCTTTGTATGATCTTGCCCCCGGGAGAAAAAAGAATGAAAAATGTGTGCGTGTACATTCTTCAGCTGTCAGATAAACGGCATTAAAAGCCACACAAACGCCAAAATCCTTGTGATGACAATACAATCTAAAACCACTGCCATCCTTCATTCTTGTTTAAATAAGTACACCCCCCCCCCCCCCCCCCAAGAGAAAAAGAGAGAAGCGTTACCTGCCATTGCGAAGGACTTAATGTGTCGTACATATGTGAGCCCGCATGTGCATAAAGAAACTCTTGACCACACACACACACACACACACACACACACACACACACACACACACACACACACACACAGCTGGGGGCTTTTAGGGAAGGGGAAGTACATTATGGGGAAGTGGACAGCTGAGGAAGAGCTTGGTACAGGAATAGTAAAACACAGTATGCAGACACCTGAAACACTCTTAACCAAAGTCTTGATTGGTTTCAGTCTCACAACCACTTCATTTACACCGATCAGTACAACAGAGTTTCTTTACAAAGAAGCACTTCAAAATGTTGCTTGTTCAGATATGTGATCAGAGGTTCTGCCTTTAAGAAATGACAAAAGAAACCAATTTAGTGACGAAGAGGAAGCCGCTTTAATGTGCCCTCATACGGAAGTTCTGATTGGTTAATTCATAAATGCTTTAAAATCAGGCCACAAAGAGGAAGTTGATTGAAGTAGTTCCTCTTTAGTTTGACCTTTAGCTCTTGATTTCCTCTCACTCTCCTTTCCCCTTTTTTTCCCGCCCTCAGGTTCCTGAACGATTTCTGGAGGTTTCCCAGGTGACTCTCCGCGAGTTCTTCAACGCCATCGTGGCGGGAAAGGACGCGGATCCGTCCTGGAAGAAGGCCATCTACAAGGTGATCTGCAAACTGGACAGCGAGGTCCCCGATGTGTTCAAATCGCCCAACTGTCTACAAGAACTCCTTCACGACTGACCGGGCAGAGGGAAGACGCGCGGCGAGCGGGACAAAACCTCCGCGGGCCGAGAGGAGACCGGAACAGAGCGCCATAAGTCAGCGAAAACACTCCTGGAGAGGTTTGTTGATGGATGTTTTCGGTCAGCCCAACTTTTAAAAAGACGTAAATGCCCTCAAAATGTTTCCTAAAGAAACAAAGAATCCTTCTTGAAGAGGTAGAGGGCTCGAAATCGTAGTCGACTGGTGAGACTTTTATAAAATTAAGCAAAGACGGTGAGACCTGAACCTCCACGCAGCTACAGAAAAGCTCCTCCGTCTGTTTTCTTCTCCACCTCATCAAAGCGCGCGCTCCTTCTCTGGAGGAATGAAGGAATGAGGAAGATGACTTGGGGTCAGGAAAGAAGTACAAATAAAGATGATAATATATTAAAATAAATCTTTTTATTGTGAATGTTTTTAAGTTTCATGCACATTTTTGGAGAAGTGATGTTTCTGTATTTTCTTGTCCTTTGTATTACTCTTCTATGAACCCTCAGTTACTTGCATAGATACACACAACCACAACACACACACTCACACGCCACTTGAATAGGAAAGCACCGTAGCATTCCCAAATCCTCACCTCAACCAGGAAAAACTGCACATAAATTAACTTGTTGTTGTTTATTTTCCTTCTTTTGTTCCCTCCTCTTTTTACTCCTCCCTCTTCTTACTGTACTGAGACTTAGTGGGTGTTTGTTTTGACCGTGTGCCCCCCCCCCCCACACTTTCCTGGCCGCCCCTCTTGGTTGGTGATGCATTAGGGCACCCAGAGCATCCAAGAAAAAAAATCCCCACGATCTAAATTTAGGACACGGCATTTAAGAGATGTACTATTACAACTTTGGCTTTAATTATTATCATTTGTGTGCTTCATTATATCTCCAAGAATATCTAATCCAAAAATCCCTTCTCTAAAGCAGCAGGTCACTCCCACAACCTCCTCTGTGGGGGGGGGGGGAACCTTCTGCCCCTCACACACGCAGGGCGCTCACAACAATCATCCATTTTTTAAATTTTGGTTTGGGATTTTGGTTGAAAGTGGCCCTGTGCTCGCTGTGGGGGGGCCGAGGGGAGCAGCCACACACCGGCCGGGTCACGTGTGAAGTGTTTTAACAGCAGAAAAAAAGACAAAATGCTGATATTTGTAGCTTGTATAGATGTAACAATTAGTCCGATAATGTTATTATTTATAATTGAAATAATTATTCCTATTAATGTTGATGACAATTATTATTGCTTGCTACAGATTTGGCCAGTGGTTTTACTTATTGTTTATCCATCACACTGCAACATGAAATAAATTATTCTTTGAAAAAAATAAAAATAAATCGGTGTGTGATTGCATTGTGTGTTGGACCTGCGCTCAGCAGAGGCGGAGAGGCCGGTGACCTGCCTGCACGCAGAAAAACGCCTTCAACCCGAGCGGTAACTAGGCAACATGCCGGCCACTTTGACTCTCTCTCTCTCTCTCTCCGGGTTGTGTACAGGAGACATGTGATCCCTTGTTGTTGATGCTGATGAATTGAAAAGAGGAGCGCTGTGTGATTATTGTCAGCACAAAAGCCTCAAAAAGCTGCTGACGCCTAGATTAGCCAGTACAAAGATGCAGGGACAGACGCACACAAAGACATAGGTACAGACACACACACACACACACACACACACACACACACACACAAAGGCACAGGGACAAGGCCCGTCTGCCCTCGTTGCTCTACCATCCTTCTCCGTCCTCTACACGTCCTCTGTTCATCCTCTCTCACCACTTCCTCCTCCTCCTTTCCCGTAGGTTTTATTTCTTTCCTCCTCTCCCACCGCTTACCTCCCTAACTAACACACACACACACACTCGCACACACACTCACACACCGTGCCCTATGTGTGTTGGCGTCCAACACTGACTGGCATCGCACAATGCCAACCGCCATCACCAGCATGAGATAAAGTGCCAGCACTCAATGTGTGTCTCTTTTTCCTCCTCTCGCTCTCCCCCATACAGGAGTTGAAAGCAATGTGTGTGTGTGTGTGTGTGTGTGTGTGTGTGTGAGTGAGAGCGAGCGAGGCATCCCTACACACACTTGTGTGCGCCACTTTGAATACAATCCTGACAATGAAGTTGTAGCATTTGGATGTTATAACGCAACATCTGAAGCACAACCGTTAATGCAAAGTCACGGCTCCAGTGTACGTCAACAGGAGACATGAAGGAAGTTACTCACAAAACAATAAAGAATACAAATCATAAAAAGAGCAATGCAAGCAGCTTTGTGAGGCCGTCATCCAAACACATTCTTACTTCTTACTTCTTCTACTATTTTATTTGATCCTCAGAATTCTCACTAAAGCGCCAACCTGGCTCACAAGTTTTCACGGAAGTAAATTATTCATTGGAGAAAAGCATAAAGAAATCTAATCCACAAGGCCCAAAAGACCGGATTAGTATGCGAGTCTCGGTGCAGGCCCGTGGGAATCTGAGCTGAAAGGTCATGCTCCGTGAGGACAGGCATTAAGAGTAACCTCACGGCCTTTCATAGCAAATACTTCACAACAGTTGACACACAGATAAAAGCTGTCCTGCAGGACGTCTCTAATGCTGCAGGGGGAGGACAACAATCACACGTCCACCACTGATCTAGAAAGTTTGTCTCTAAGTGCTTTGAGGGAAACAAAAGGCCAAATCACGATCATCTAATGCAGCAGGCTTACACTGCCAACGCGTTTCATTAGAACAGGAGGCGCGGTCACTCTGTGCTCTACATGATCACACACACACACACGCACGCCGTCTGCCTGTGAGAGCACATCTGAGCAACGCAACAATAAAACAGCTGTGTTTGTGTTGGCCTGCTGAATGTTTCCTTCTCTATCACCTCGTCATATGCACAAGCACACTTATGGTCGACCGAGAAGACGGGACAGCGATACGTCTTGGGTAATGGCCGCCATCATCATGGAGTAGGGAGCGAGTTGATTATTATAGAGGAAGATCAGTCCTCGACATAATGCCAATGGCTGTAACGGTCTCCTCCGTGTTGACTGCTGCTGAGTTGGACTGTGGCCGCTGGGAATGTGTGTGAGAGAGGCAGAGTTCTCATCCAATGACGAGGCAGAACTTTGTGTCTGGAGCTACGACAACGGCAATAATCGTAAAAACAGCCCGACTTTACGGTCACAAATAAAATATAACTCATCGTTTGGCAGAAAAAGAATCCTGTTGATGTCTTCTTGTGTTTTTCTCCTGGTATTTGTCTTAATTTCTATTTTAACGTACATTATGTTGATAAAGATTGGCTGTGCAATTTCCTGTTTAAGAGATAATGAGTGAGTGAATGAAGAAGAACAATTAGCAGCCTGTTATTCTGCTTGATCAGCATGCTTTAAAGACGGATTATTGATCATGACGGTTAGTACAGTGTGTGACTGTGAAATCTAAAAACTCAATCTGCATTGAATTTTTCTTCTTCCTATTTTCTATCGTAACAAAATAAAGGATCTTTTCCTGAATAAAAGTTGCTAATTTGATATTAGATTTATTTTATTGAAGCAAAGGTTGATCTGCTGTCCAGTAGAGCTAAATCTGCAGAATTGTAGTTGTGTCTCTCATCACTGTTTAATAACGTTTTCATTGCGTTTTCCAGCTGTGTAAGTAGAACCTGAGCTCCACGTCTGACCTCAGCCTGACCTGTTGGAGTCTAATTATGACTCATTTCAACACATCAACTTACAAACATAATTCAAATAAACGACTGACTGGATCGGACCATCGCCGGCTGCAACAACAACTGTTAGCTTGTCGAACAGACTTTAATCAGCCAGCGCTGCAGGTTTATTCTCATCGTTCTTTAAGATGGCACCCAGGTGGATGAGGCTAATTGTTGTTTTGAGCAGCTGCCCCGACAGCGTTTTCACTTCCTTCTCGCGGCACGCTCTGCATCCCTTCATCTCTCCAGCAGGTCATGCTCCCATTCCACCCATTCCATCCCGCCGTGCAGAAAATCCTTCATTTCTAAGCCACTAAGACAACTATCTGTCCTTTAAACAATCTAACCGTCCGCTGAGTCAAACTATCTCTCCGTGATGCATTTCTATCCCCCTTTCTTGAAGTCAAAGAATCCATGCCGCCACCTTCTTTTCTCCCTGGCTCCTAACTGCTATGCGTTTCCTCCTCCCTCCATCCCTCCTTCCATCAGCGGGCTGTTGGCTAATCAAACGCCATCTGTCGTTGCATCCCCAACCTGTCAGGAACAGCTGCCAGCCGCTCTCTTAACAATTCTTTTAACAGCCCTGCCGCATCTTCCCCGGCACACGGCAGGGCAGGCGTCTCCGTCGAAGGCCACCGCCTCCTTTAAGAGTGCACGCCGCCGACGCAGCAGACACGTGTGCGACCAGCGCCGTGCAGAACCGCGCATGCCCGTCGGAGCCCGTCGGAGCCCGTCGGAGCCCGTCGGAGCCCGTCGGAGCCCGTCGGAGCCCGTCGGAGCGCGGGAGGTGATCAGGGCGGGAGAGTCTCAAAGGAACGAGGAAACCGTGCGGGAGAATGAATGGAAAAGTGGTTTTGGAAGACAGTAAGACCAGTTTCAAAAGTTTAAAAACAACTTTTTACTGGCCTCTGGATGAACCTACGTAGCACCGACAGGAACCAGCAAAGAAAATGAAATCATTCCAGAGAAAGAGGCATAACGAGCTAGCAGAAGGTATAAACTGAGAGATAAAACAACGGAGAGATGGCGCTCGGTAAACGAGTCGGTCTAAATAGTAATCAAGGGAAGAATCAGCCGCCTGCTCAAAAAAAAGGGTTTAGAGCTAATGGTGGAGAGTAAAAGCTCCCAACACAAACAAAGTGCTGTCCAATCAACGCACACACACACAAAATCAACACTACAAGCACCGTATACAGTTTTCTCACATCATACGATCATCAGACACGCGTCACACATGTAATCACCCAGCGGTGCACGTTCACTAACACTCTCATCACACACACACACACACACACACACACACACACACAGTCACTGCAGAAACTGCACTGCTGTTGTCGCAAACATGCCAAGACATTTTCAAGTGTTATATCCTGAGGAACTTCCCCAACCAATCATTGGCACATGGGCCAGATGTTCTCCTGGCAAACACATATACCCACACACACACACACACACACACAAACACACACGCACACAGTCAGTGCAACACTGGCTGGCATCTTTATCCCCCCCCCCCCGACCCTCCTGGCATATGAGCATTTTATATTTTTTATCATACGAAGGGCAAGAAACAAGGAGCGAGAAGAGCCGGAAGAAATAAAGGGATCAACAAAAGAGTGGAGGAGTATAAAGAGTGGAGGTGAAAGAGACAAACTGCTCATATAGTGAAAGGAACAGGAGTGGAGCATCCAAGTGCCTCACCACGCCATCACCACGCCACCGAGCGGCAGGCGGCGTCTCAATCTCTTTCCTGTTTTCAGTTGGTTTGCTGGTTGTGTGGAAGTCAATGAGAACATGACTACTTCTGCCTCACTAAGCATTGTAAATATGAGTGTATGGTCTCAAACTCTAATTTCATGTTATTTTCCATACAGTGTGGTTCCAAAAAGACAAGATAGTAACAGCCAAAACCTGGGTTGTGTACAGCATGTTAAATGAATGAGAAAAGAAATTCAAAATTGGTCACACATTAACAATTCATGCTTTTTTCCGATAGTAACTGCCAAAAAGAAAAGATGAGAATTTTATTAAAAGCTTCCCTCTTTCTCTCAGTCATTCATTGAAAATGACACTGACATCTTTGCTTTTCCATTAATGCTACCTGATAAGCTTTGCTCAACGGGCGTACAAAGTCAATAAAACAATGTAAAAACACAGCAGTGAAAATAGTCAAAACGTTTCTTGCAAGTTTGAGAGGATCCTTTTGTGAAGATGCAATCAAAGGCAATCATTTAGATTTTAAATATTATCTGGCTCATAAACCGTTGGTGGCCCGGAGCATTAGTCAGTAAAATCGAACGTGCCTGACGGAATGGACTGGACTCCCTGCGATGGGATATTTCCACCAGCTGAGAGGGGACACTTCTGGTGGGGAGATCAATGCCGCCGCACACATGGTGGAGACAGGGGGGCTCACACACACACATCAACACATGCTTATAGATGGACACACGTACACTTGAGGGAGCGTGTCGGCCTCATGTCTCATGTCCAATAAGGGCATTAGGTCCGTCAATAAGAGCCTTTCAAGAATACCAGGGGTTCCATCGGCTGACACACGCACAGACACACACGGACCAACTTCCCCCGCTTACTTTGTCCTTTAAGCAGACAAAACTGGAGTG